AAATATACTGGCTTTGTACATACATTGGATCTAGCTAAGGCAAACAAGTGCACTGGATAGGTAAACCTGCAGAGATGATTTAATTTGTCTTAGTGTTTGTCTGAAAGACCCAAGGTGATGTATCTTTATGTCGTGAATCAGAGGGCGAGGTCATTTCATTTGACTAACAGACAGAGGGCCCAGGAAGGGCTTTTGCAGAATCCTTGCTGCTTTCCGAATTCAGGGCTAGAAGGAGTCCCCTTCAGCCTCAGCACTAACACCACCAGTCCAAGACTGACTTCAGTTTGTACCTGAGGGCCACGAGGAGGGAAGGGACTCTGGGCTGCCACAGCTCCCACCCCAGGGTTACCTCAGGAAAGGAAGGCTCTCCCTTCTGCAAATCCTCTGCTGATTTCCAAAGTCAAATCAGCACAAAGAATCTGTTGCATAGGCCTAGATCTGGACATTGAGACATATTTCAAGTAATGGCTAGTTTCTAGCCCTTCTAGCAAAACCTCTTTGGTTTTGATCATCCCCAAAGGCCTATCTGTCCTGGCTGCATTAAATAATCTTTAAAATGTCTGAATGAAGCTGTTGGAGAGCAGTACTGTCACATAGCAGGAGAAATGCTGGGAGGTTTGATTTTACAGAGTAAGTCTGTCAAATCAGCATTTAAAGCATATAATTGTCAACTCCCCAGACACGAAGAATGCTGAAAATGTAAAAACCTTGTTCACATTACAGTTTGTAACCTAGTTTGACTATTATTTCAAACATGGTAAGATGGAAGTTCCACCAAGCTTTTGCAGCCAAGGGTAGAAACCAGGCCAAAGACTACCTGGGCCTAAAGGCAACAGGACAATATATGTTAACATGGTAACAACAAAATATTTTGCCACTGTGAATAGGGGCGTAACTTTGCCAGGTGTCATGGTTTAACCCCAGCCAGCAACTAAGCACCACCCAGCTGCTTGCTCACTACCCCCTCCCAAGTGGGATGGGGGAGAGAGAATCAGAAGGGTGACATAACTTGTGGGTTGCAGTAAAGACAGTTTAATAGGGAAAGCAAAAGCCATGCACACAAGCAAAGCAAAACAAGGAATTCTTTCACCACTTCCCATCTGCAGGAAGGTGTTCAGCCATCTCCAGGAAAGCTGGGCTCCATCACACGTAACAGTGACTTGGGAAGACAAACATCATTAACTCTGAATGTTCCCTTCTTTCTTCTTCCCCCAGCTTTATCTGCTGAGCATGATGCTGTATGGTCTGGGATATCCCTGTGCTCAGCTGGGGTCAGCTGTCCTGGCTCTGTCCCCTCACAGCTTCTTGTGCACCGCCAGCCTCCTCACTGGTGGGGTGGGGTGAGAGGCAGGAAAGGTCTCAACTCTGTGTAAGTTCTGCTCACCAATAATGAAAATATCTCTGTCTTACCAGCACTGCTTTCAGCACAAATCCAAAACAGCCCCATAATAGCTACTAGGAAGAAAATTAACTCTATCCCAGCCAAAACCAGCACACCAGGTTAACTCAGCACATAAATAAATCCTCACTGCAGGAGTAAGAAAAGATAATGCTCAGTGAGGGAATTGCATGACCTAAACACCAACCAAAATTTATAATTAAACACCATTCAAATCAATCCAGGTTGGGGACGAATTAGGAGGTTAATGGTTTAAGCAAGGTGAATCCCTCATTTTGTAAAATAAGTCTTCAGGTTAATATCAAAAGGCAAAATATGTCTTGCTCTTTTTGGCAATTAGTTAAGAAAAACCCTTGGTGAAAACAGTTCTTGCCCTCCAGCTGGATGAGCACTGAGACTCTGTCACAGACAGGGCTGGCTGCTTCTGTGCCAAGGAGCAGGCTGTTTCTTGGAAATGTTTATGCAATTCAACTGTGCTGCTGCTGAAGCCACAGACACAAAAAACCAAACCAAACCAACAACCAAAAACAAAGAAAAAAGGAAACAGCCAGCCTCAGACCTCTCAGGCCATTAGTGTATCTCACTCAGGTTTTGCCTTCCACCAAACACTGTCAAATTTATGTTTTATTTGGACCTGAAGGGTGGAGGGAGTTGGAAAGTTGCCTTTGTTGCTGTCAGTGCTTCCTAACAATGTTTCTCACTGCAGAAAATGAGCTTGACTGTTTGAGAATCCAAATTCCCTGTGGGGCACAGTTTGGGAAACTGAAGATATGGTAGGGAAAATAATATCTTCAAGGCAAAGTATAAACATCCATAAAGCAGAATAGCAAAACACCTACAGAGGATGTTGTAGCTTTGCCAGTAAACTGAAGTCACTGACTAGGGAGGGAAACTATAACAGCTGAAAAGTTAAAATAAAAATAAATCAGTTTAGTCTAGCAATTAAAACAGGAAATTACCACCAGAGTCGGGGCTCCTATGTTCTTTTCCTGGTTATGCTTCCGATTTACTGAGCAAGTTAGAGAAGCCAAATTTTAAAAGTAATTTGGAAAGCCTCCATTTCTGATGCCCAGCTGTACACACTGAGGACTGCACCAACTAGCATCTTCAGTGCCCCCCTGTGCATTTGGGAGGGCAGAGCATTTCAGGGCACTGGCATCTCAGAAGTCAGCTACCTGACCTGGAGAAACCTACAGTTACCAGCCCACTCAAAGTGGCCATCTCTGAAAGTTTCCCATCTGTGAATTGTGGCTAGTGCAACATATTGCTGTGGGAGTCTGATGTTGAAATGCTCCTTATGGCTGGCGTAACATATTGCAGTGGGAGTGTTATGTTTAAATACTGTTTGCAAACATTTACAAGACTTCTCAGACTCACTGTGTCTTCAAAGTCAGTGCTATTGCTTTTGGAAATAATACACTAAGTGACCTGCACATTTTCTGAAAGGACTGCTTCTTAGTAGGGGTAACGAAGCTGCATTTCCAGGTCTGACTGCAGGAAGAGTTTAAGTAGCATGTGACTGAAACTGAGAATCAGAAATAACTCGTCTTCTGTTCAATAACATAGCCCCATTTGAAACTACAATAAAGCAATCAGTGACACCTCAGGAGGAGGGGAAATAACTCTCAGTCATGGGAGCTCTCTGTACACAGGGTTTCTATTCAATTTGATGAAAAATTCTAAATGGAGAGCATGTGGCTCCTTACACTGACTTGAGTTGTGCCATAAATTCCTCAGAGACAGAGCCAAATTAAGTGTCCAGAATAAGGATGTCTCCATAAATTGACACCTTCCTGTCCTATGTTCAGTTACAAACTCTCATCCTTATCAAGGGACCATGGATCAGAGGATTATGCTCTGGGTGGTTGCCAGCACTCATTTAGTCATGGAACTCCCAAGTGTTTCTCATTATACCAGTGAACTTTTTTTTTTTTCTTCTGTGTAATACTTCTATAAATGTACGTGTCCTAGTGTCAGCTTCATCTTTGCTATAAACCAGAATATTTACAGTGGCTTATCAGATTGAGCATCATAAAGCAAATTATTATAGATGTTTGCCTATTTGTAACTGAAGTGGCTACTGCATCTGATCTTTCCAAGAATATTGTTGTGCTGAGGTATAAGCATGAAAAATAGAGAATGTTGTTTACTGACACTACAGAAGGAAAAAAAAAAAAAGAGGACAGAGTAGGTTTGGGGTTCCCCTGCTTCTCTTCCACTCACCAGCGTGCAGGGGGGGGATGCAATCAGAGTTTATTTCCCTCTTGCTCCCACATGCAACCCTGGAGGTAACACAGTGTACACCATCTCTATCAGCCACAGCAGCTCAAGTCTCAGAGCTGCTGACAGTCTCAAGTCTTTTGCCAACCACCTGCTTTTTCACCCATGTTTTCACATAGGAAGCAATTTGGACCTACATGCTAAGAAATCATACAAGCTCCTGAAACAAAACCAAACCCTTTTCTGGCATGTTGGGTCATTTAACTTTTGTAAACTTCACCTGGAAACCTATTAAAAAAACCCCAAAAGCTGCAAAGGCGTGATGTATAAATAAATGACAAAGAAGCCTTTGATAGGTGATCATATCATTCTGCCACTATACAGGTGAAGTATCTCCCTCTAGGCAACAATAAAACAAAATACAGTAAATACACGGGCAGTATTTCAACACCTGCTAGAGACTCTGGGAAAATGGCTTCATTTTTACAGCTGTCTTCAGAACAGCTGTATGCAATATTCTCATCTTCACCTTAACATATTAGCATATTATGTACCTTACTATATTTTTAAGTACAACACACAGTTTTAGTGAGTGTATTTAAAAAAATAAAACCAGTATTTGCACAAGGTCATTGTCTACTCTACTACCTTCCCTAGACAAAAAGTCTTTCTTTAGGGGACATCTAACATTTAGACATAACAAGTCCATTTAAGAATACCTTCCTATTTCCTTCAAAATGTAGAAATAACTGAAAGTGTTTACAAAGAGCAAGAAACCAAATGAAGTTCATTAAATTAATGATTTCCACTAATCAAAGCCATCTTTTCTTCATACTCAATCCCAGTCTGTGCACTCCCATGTAATAACGTGTATCCACATACTAATGAATTGCAATTATTTCATCGTTTAGAGGCTGTGCAAAGCTGAATTATAAAAAGTTTTCTTAATGATAGGTCCTAGTGGGGAAAAGACAAGGATCTAGTTAAGAAATGTAGTCTTTTACTAGTGAGCTACTTCTCCAGATGCTATATATAATACTAGCAATATGTACTCAATAGATATGATGTTATCATAATGAAATGGATATTAAAACTATTAATTGCAAAAAGCACATGGACATATTTCTAAATACTGTGTTCCCTGTCATTTACAAGTGTTACAAGTCTTCTTTAACTTTGGAATACTTCTTACAGAAGCAGCTCTCAGAACTGTTAAACTCTAGCTTCGACACTTGAACTCTCCACTAAGGCGATATGACCTTCATGTCAGCCTTCAGTATCTTTTGCCCAAAGTTTTCGAATTAAATAAAACACCTTACTTTTCTACTACTCCCACACACCCCTTTTTGGTCATTCATTGCTACTTCCCTTTGTTTTGTAGGCTCGTCCAAAAGGAGAAGGCCTGACTCCATACCAGGGCAAGAAACGCTGTTTCGGTGAATATAAGTGCCCCAAATGCAAGAGAAAATGGATGAGTGGAAACTCCTGGGCCAACATGGGACAAGAATGTATTAAGTGCCACATTAATGTTTATCCTCACAAACAGGTAGGAGAAGTGCAGACCTACTGGCATATAGGCTTTCTTTTGACTTTGTGAAGTGTTGGTAAGACTTAAAAAGGACTTGATATGGACCACAAAACACCACAAAAAATTGTTTACCAGATCGAGTTCTCAGTCCTGAAAATCTGCACTGGTGTCATCAGACTTGAAAAATTTGAATGTTTTATCTTTCAGTAAAAATACCTCCAAAGCAAAATCTTTACCTGACTTTATTATAGAAACAGGCTGTGAGATATTATAATCTGAGATGGAGTAAATCAAGTGCAGCACTAGCAATGGGCCTCCTAGTTCTTCTGATTCTCTTCAAATTTACACCGATTTAATGTTTTAATCCACTGGTGTCAGTGGAGTTATTTCCCATGTATACTACTTTTTTTCACCTGTTGAAATAAGATTGGATTTGGTTAAGGGGCTATGTCTGTTTATAAAGGTTAGTGATAAACGAGGACAATATTAAGATGACTCCTGCCTACAGAATTCCTTGGTTAATGACAGCAAAGCAAGACAGCCTGGTTAAAGAGAGGTTTCTTGGTTTCCATAATACCAAGTGATGCCCAAGCAAAGAACTCCAAGAGAAAGTCTTTTGTTAAGATGAAAAGGTCAAATCTAAGAAGCAGCTTTGCTAGAAAAGCTGTATCTGCCATTTTGTCAGGCACAGCTCACACAGTATACACAGCCTTCTTTCCTGCTCCCTGAGGACTGCAGTTGCCTTTAACCCTTGAAGTAATTTCCTGCATTTCCAGCTCACAATGGGAAAAACTGTCATTTCCTGCTTGTGTCACACTAGAACTAGTCACAAGCAGTCAGCCAGTTCAACAGTCTTTAGTGGGAGACAGATAGTCCAACTGCGTGAGCTCATACTCTGTTTCTCTAACAAACAAGGCTGCAGACTAGCTGTCAAAGCTGAATTTTCATGCAGAAAATCCATGAAAAATCTGTCCATCACGGAAATATTTTAAGGGGGACTTCATAACATTGCAGAAAATTTTTGTGGCTTGAAAAGGTGCGAATTATTTTAAAAGAGTCTGGGAGGTGTGATTTGCCTCAGGTGTAATTCATCCTAGCTGAATCTCAGTAGTAAATAGAACTCTGCATGGGTCAAGTTACCTGCTACCCACTCAGAGAGACTGCTCAAACCATAGACAGATCATTTGGATGTACTTGCAGTAGGTGCAAAGGAAATTCCATTAGGAGCTTTAGGTGTCTCATTAGTTACCTAAGCTCTTGCAAAATTCCTGTAAAAAGCTCTTTCCATGGGCTAATAAGGAATATACCATTTCATGAGATCTTGAAGGGGAGAGTGTCAAGAAAAAAAAGAAATTCTGAAGAAGGATACTGTGACTTTATTAATGATGAAAAGACAGAGGAATACTGAAATTCATTGCAACAAGCAGGAAGAGGAGATACAAATAAGTTTATTAAGCTTTATCCCATACAGGAATATCAAATCAACTGTCTTTCCTCCTCTTGTACATATGTGCATATTCATCTAATTGTAAAGGCAAGACTTGGCTTAGTCTCTACAGCAACACTGCATTCCAGTATGCAGGCAAAATACTGATTTAGAATTGCTAGTACCTTGAAGCAGTATGAATTACAGTTAAAACATAATGTTTGAAGTCTGCCACGCTTGTGGCAGAAGCCTTGTTTTAAACTTGACATACTTCACTACATGATGATCCCTTCTTTCTATCATGGGAATTTTTCTACTTTACAAGAAACTTTTATAATTCCCTGTCTGGGCCAGTGATTATCTTTGTCTCTGTTGACCAGTTGAGATAATGTGATCCATTCCCCTTTTTCTGGGCCAATGGCACTCTGATTCCAAACCTGAAAACAAGAGCTCATGTTTAGAAACTGCAATCTAATTTCCCTGAGAAAACTGTGGCTAGAAACTATACTACAAGTGAGAAGAAGTGAGGACCTCTTTTTCTGTGGAAGCATATATATGTAAGGAAGGTGGAACAGTTTTCTTATGAGACAATTCTCAAAGCTTCCAAGGTCTCTGGTTCCTTGCCTCTGTTTAGATAGCTAGTGTCGACAACTGCTCCAAAATCCAGGCTGAACAAGGAAGTGATTTTTCACATGCATGGAAGTACAGTCTTGAGGGTGAGAGAAACTACAAGACTGTTGATTTATAACACGTTTATAAATATTTAATTTGTTCTTCTAAATTCTTTACATCATTTATGTTACTGTTCAACAGTTCACGAGAAATCGCTCAAGAGGTATCCCATCCACACTATTCAAGAGGCATTATATAGACTTGGGAATATGTACATTTTGTAGTAAAGAATGTTTACAAGTAGTCCTCTTGGGCAGAGTTGCCTCTTGTGACCAGGCTAGAGGAGTCTCATCTTCATACTAGTACTGAAGTCAGAGACAGACTGGAAGGGTTGCAGTCTACAGTGCTTCCGTAAGATATGCTTGCCTTGGAGCCATATACATGCTGTTTTCTGGGGAATAATCACAGCATGTGCAGTGCAGGTTTCCACAGCTGACCCCCATCACTATTGTTTCCATACCATCCCCTAAGGACACCATAACTCAGGATGTGGAAGAGCTTTGCTCTTATCTATCCATGTGTTCATGTCTCACCAGTAGGTATGGCAGCTATTTGAGTTCTTCAAGACAAGAGTGCATTTCAGTTAGGCTTCCAGATATAAATAACTTGCAGCCAGTCACTAGTGCTCTTTCCCAAGATTTGAATTTACAACCTTGAGTTGGAAGATTTTACATCCTATTGTTGCTGCCTCACCTCCATCTGCTTCTGTTTCTCAGTGTTACTATCCTCATTCTTTCTAGTCTTTTTTATTCGTCCAGAGGTGCCCTGTGCTGCTTCTGAATAAACATACCAGCAATAGCCAGACAGTAAAGAAAACAGCATCAGTTCACGCACAGAGCCAGAAGCAAAGGAGAGCTAACAGGCTGCATGAGGTCAGCACTACTTCTTGACAGAGCCTAGTGTTTGCTAACCCATACATGTTTTTTGTCCAAGCATACAGCTCCACGCCAGACTCTCCCTAAACATTTATCTGTGTGGTGTTAATTTGCACAATTTTGGAAAATATGCTCTACCTGGTCACCAGTACTTTTACACTAATGACTATATTTTGTAAAAGCATAATGAAATATATTTAATTAATTAATTTCTAGTTTGAGAGTTAAAGCATAAAAAAAAAAGTCTTATTGTGAACATAAGATTGTTTTAGTAGGGTGTTTGGGTTGGTTTTTTTTTTTTTAATTTGCACTGCTACACCACCTTAACATTTTCTGTCTATATTTCCTCTTTGTTCTTTAGACTTTGATTAGTTTGTTGGCACCTACCATAGGAGAGTCCTCATTTATGTCTGAGTTCTTACGCACTTTTCTAGAATTTTTTAGCAGTCACTTCCCCCCAGCAGTACATTAGTGGATGTCCTCAGCTAATTATGTGCTCCTATCACCTTTATTATATGGGATCAGAGTATTTTCACTCTTATCTGAATCTTCCATTAGACAGTTTTTCCAACTTAACTCATCTAAGAAAAAGTGCTGCCTCTCCCTAGAAGCTATCTTTCTTTTGTGCCATTTTAACTCAATTCAAGAAAAATAAATCAGTGTTGCTGGTTTATAGTGTCTATTGTTTCACTGCAAAGTCACCACACTATTTGATGTGATCGTGGCACAAGTAAACCATTAATGTTTGGGGGTTTTTCCCCCCAGTTTAACAAAACCCACATGAACTGGCCAGACAGAAGAAGTCTGACTTCCATTCAATCTCAGACAGTATTTACCTCTAGTGAAATAAATCAATTCTACTTCCAAACTATTTTGTCAATATTTCTCCTCTGCAATATGTTGGAATTCATCATCTGCTTTTCTTACTCCTTGCCCTACTATTTGGTAAACATATCATTGTGACCTAACAGATAAAATGGTATCCTGAACATTATTTTTAAAAATTAATAGCCATTTCAGCAGGTGAAAATGACTGTTGGTTCCTCAACATTAACTATCCTTACATCAAGTTACAAGAGCCTCCAAAACTACAAAAATTACTTAACTGCAAACAACTCAAGACCATGTCTAAAACCAGCCAGGTACCACATTTCCCTGGTGAGGGCACATTATAAAAAATCTCCATTCACAATAGTATATGCAGCATGAAAACTCATACCAGGTCAGATCAACCTCCCCTGTTCCACATCTGATCCTGGGCAGTAGAGGATACTTACAGGAAGGTGTGGATATAAACAAGACACAGCAACCACCTCCAAGGATACTTTCCTATCCTCTGGTATGGCCAAGTGAATATCTCTGCATTCCCCCAGTTTCTAAGCAAATATATCAGCCCTGTAGAGTCTATTCAACAGCTGAAATATAAGCACATGGGCCACCAGCCTTGTTACATCACCCTGAATATTGAAGTTTAGGATACTTTTGTCCAATTTAGGAGAGAAACAATTGAAATCCCTATTTCAGGATTCCTTGACCCTCACTGCAGTGAGAGTTTGTTCTCAATTGCCAGGCTTTCCCTTTTCTCCAGTCCTCATCTCCACCTCTGTATTTCATCTTCCCCAGCTGCTTTCCTCAATCTATGGATTTTACAGTCCTGTAGCTCTTGTCTACATTGTCTCACAAGGGATTGTTCATGCCTGAGTACTCTCATGTGACTAGCTCAGGCAATACTATCAGAGTACTGAAGATAATAATCTCCACTCTAGATAGCTCTGGAGTAGCCATTCAAGAACATGTGCTGGGTCTGTGAGGCTTGTACAGCTCAAATCTTGATTTCTATGCATACCTTTCGTTAGTAGGTCCCTGGAGAGGAGAGCAGCCACACTTCCCTGCCACCTGCTCTGGAGGTTTGTTTCACTCCAGGAAACTATCCTATGCCAGTTCCCCACAAGGAATGTCTCAGTTCAGCCCTGTGCTCTTACTCCACATACCCTATCTGTGAGAATGAGCTTTTAATCTCTGTGAGGCAGGAAAAGTCTTCTCAG